TCGGGTCAGGAGACAGGGGAGGGGACACAGGGGGGAAACGAGGAGGAAGATGAGCCAGGGACGAGTCCGGCGGAGGGAAGATAGGGTCGTACACGGGATGAGGAGGAGACGGGCGGAGAGGAACAGACGCTGGGTCAAGGGACGGAAGGCCGAGCAAGCGAAGGGCTGACACCGGCGGGGACTGCTGCTGCGGCGGCACACCGCCGACACCGGGACCGCAAGCTGCTCCTCGGCTACCACCGGCACACTCCACGCCAGCACCCCCAGAGGGAACACCTCCAGGGCCCGAAACCCCTCAAGGACCGGTACCACCCCCAGGGGTACCGGGACTAGCACGCACTCCAACGCCAGCACCCCCAGAGTCAACGAACGGGTGCTGCGACGGCGGCGGTGGCGGCAGCGACAACGACGGCGGCGGCGGCGGCGGAGGTGACAACGGCTGCGACAGAGGCGGTGGAGGAGGGGACGCGTGGGGAGGGGCAGCCGGCGAGGACTGTGCCGCAGGACCACCGGAGGCAGAAGACTCCTCAACCGAGACCACCGACAGAAGAGGGGTGAAGTGGGACACACCAGAGGGGGCATTACGGGGAGGAGGAGGGGGAGGGGCAAGGACTACCAGGGAAGGAGTGACCAGGAACAGGGGGGGGGTAACCGGGGGACCTCGGTGGGGGAAGCGACGGTAGTAGGAGACGGACTCGTCAAAGGTGACGTCGCGAAAGTGAAAGAAGCGGTGAGACGGCGGGTGGTAGAAGTGCCAGTCGGACGCGTCAAGGGGAAAACCGAGGAAGATGCAGGGAAGAGTGCGGGCAGTGAGCTTGTCCGTGCCGGAGGCACGGACGTGAGCAAGGCAGCCCCAGACGTGGAACGCAGACGCGTCACCAGGAGACCCAGTCCACAGAGGGGTCGGCGAAACCTGCGGCTGCTGAGGGTGCGGCCACAGGTTAAGCTGGTGAGAAGCGTAGCGCACAGCGAACGGCCACAGAAAATGGGGTGCACCGGCATGGATCATGGAGGTGCGAGCCACCTCCATGACCAAACCGATGCGTCGCTCAGCGACCCCATTCTGCTGTGGGGAGTCCGGTAGGGTGAACATCTGGGTGATGCCCTCCGCACGACAAAAGCGACCAAGGACACCTGAGGCAAACTCGCCACCACGGTCGGAGTGAAGGCGCAAGACAGGGAGACCTCGGTGGACACGGGCAGAGACAAGCCAGGGGATAAGAGCGGCAGGCACGTCGGCCTTCCGCTCCAGGGGAAAGACCGAGGTGTAGCGAGTGAAGTCGTCGACAAGCACAAGAAAGTAGCGCTCTCAACGCGGCCCATGGACAGGGGCGGGGCCCCAGACGTCCATGTGCAGGGTCTGCAGCAGCGCGGCGGTAAGGGGAAATGAGGAGGAGTGAGGGGCACGGCGAAGCCGACCCTCGACGCAAGGCGTGCAAGGAGGGGCTGGGGAGGAGGGAAAAGCGGGGAGAGAACAAGGGAGACCAAGGACGAGACCGTGCTGGGACATGTGACGCAGACGCGGGAGCGCAGGGTGACCTAGGCGGTGGTGCCAAAGGAGAGTCGGGTGAGTGAGGGACCGACAGGAGCAGGCAGCAGCAACCTGGGTAGACGCAGCCACCTGAGGGGGCGCCCCAGCCAGGGGGGTCATGGTGTCCAGAGTGAATAGGCTGGACACCGGGTCCCGGGGGAACGTGGACAGGGGGGCACCAGTGGCGGCCTTGGTACAGACATCATACCGCTCGTGACCAGGGAACGTAGTGGTGACGCCAAGGTCCTGGAGGCAGCCGACACCAACTAGGTTCCTGGAGAACGAGGGGATATGTAGACCTGTAAGAGAGCCTGAAGGAACCGCTGGACAGGGAAGGGTGGTGGAAGTGCGGGCGACTACCGGACCGCTGGAGGGGTCAGCAAGAGAAACGGCAGCAGGAACAGGAAGCGGCGTCAGTGTAGTAGAGTCGCCGAAGAAGAATCGGGAAGCGCCAGAGTCTAAGGTGAAGGAAAGCGAAGTAGTGGCGTCCGGCGACAGGGCGATGGCGGAAGCACCAAGGTTAACAAAGCAGGCGATCCTACGCCTGACGCAGCAGGGGAGGCTAAGCTAGGCACATCTACACTAGACGACAGTGAGTAATAGGCGGGAAGCGCACTAGAGTCATCAGCATACATCACATGCAGAGCTGAAACAATGGCATCCATGTCCATGTCAAAAATCTGAATCCTACGACTAAGCAAACTGTGCTAGTCCGGAAGGTCTGGCGACGGGCCGAAGCGCTGACGAAACAGGTCGTCTAGGCGACGAAAACAGCGGGGAGTGGTATGACCAAGCTTACCGCAAACGAAGCCGCGGCGAGGGGCGGTCTGGATCTGGTACTGACAACGCACGCCTCCCGAACCACCACTCGGCGCACCACCACGCGCCCGACCACCTCTAGTGCAGGCCACCCGGGCGGGAGGACACTCGCCTGCCTCGTCTGCGGCGGCTGCTGCGGCTGCTGCGGAGGCTGCGGCTGCTGCGACTGCTGCGGCTGCTGCTGCTGCTGCTGCGACGGCGGAGGCGGCGGCTCAGCTGGACTGGGCAGGGTCCCCTCGTCCGCTCCAGCACCAGACGACCCGACTCCACCACCACCCCCTCGTGCACCCCCGCCTCCTCCGCCGTGCCCAGCCTTGGGGCGGCGGCCCTTCCCCGAACGGAACTGCGCTGCAGCAGCAGTCTCAGCCACAGCGACAGAACCGTCGGAGAAGGTACACTGAGCGGGGGCACAACCCTGAAAGATAGGGACCGGCACGGTACCGCTCGCCTGGGCGATGGAGCGGTGGCGGGTCTCAATAACAGTCAGGGTGTCTACAAAGACGGTGAGGGTGAGCTCACCGGGGTGAATGCTAAGGAAGCGGTCGCGGGCGGCGGCAAGGCGGTCAGGGAGGCGGGTGGCAAGCAGGTAGAGGGTAGAGGTAATGGGCGGCTGGTGGGCTCTAAGCTGTGCGTCAGTGCAGGCAGCGCGCCAGGTCTCATCTATCGAGCGCAGGTGGGCAGCTAGGTCAGAGACAGTGGGGAAAGACGCAAGGTCGGGAAAGAGCATCGGGAGGATCAGGCGACCCACCGAGGCAGCAGGAGGGGTGGAATAGCGCTTGATGACAGCATCTAAGTAAGCCTGGGCGGTAGTGATGGACCTAAAGCGAGGGTGCTCGGACGGGGGAAGGGCATTGCTAATGGCAAGCTGAGCGACAGCGTTTCGGGAAAGCCAGACAGAGCGCGCAAGGGCAGTGGCTGCAGTAGACTCGCGCTCAGCGGGTGTGGGGTCAGCTGGCAGAACAGCAGGGGGGTCTGGACAGGGGAGCGTACCGTCAAGGTGTGCGGAAAGCGGGTGGCCATCCTGCCGATGGCCAGTGAGGTGGCGACGGAGGTCGGCGAGCCACGCCTCGAACTCCAGAGGCTGGCCTTCAGCGTCGAAGCGAAGCTCCGCCGCCATTAGGAGCAGTGCAGGACTGTACAGTGTGGTGCAGCGCGGTGCAGTGCGGTGCAGGGCGGTACCGTGCAGTGCAGTGCGGTGCAGTGCTGTGCAGTGCGGTGCAGGGCGGTGCAGTGCGGTGCAGGGATGGGGAACCGTACCAGGGAGGATGCAGGGCCGGGGCAGGGACGACGAGCGGGCAGCACACAGCTCGGGGCAGGGACGACGAGCGGGCAGCACACAGCTCGGGGCAGGACGGGCGCGGGGGCCAGAAGCAGCGGGCACCAGGTCGATGGGACGGGCGCGGGGCCGGCTGGGACGGGCGCAGGGGCCGAGCAGACTGGCGCGGAGGTCGCAAGGGCGGGCGCGGGGCCGGCTGGGACGGGCGCAAGTCAGGTACGGCGGGGCCAGGCAGGCGCGGCGGGGCCAGGCAGGCGCGGCGGGGCCAGGCAGGCGCGACGGGGCCAGGCAGGCGCGGCGGGGCCAGGCAGGCGCGACGGGGCCAGGCAGGGTGCGACGGGGCAGGGCAGGGCGCGACGGGGCCAGGCAGGCACAGCGGGGCCAGGCAGGCGTGGAGGGGCTAGGCAGACACGACGGGGCCAGGCAGGGCGCGACGGGGCTAGGCAGGGCGCGACGGGGCCAGGCAGGGCGCGACGGGGCCGAGCGGGCGCGACGGGGCCAGGCAGGGCGCGACGGGGCTAAAAGGCGTGACGGGGCCCAGAAGGGGCGCGACGGGGCCCAGAAGAGGCGCGACTGGGCTAAGGGGTCGCGACGGGGCCCAGGTGGGTCGCGACTGGGCTAGGGGGTCGCGACGGGGCCAGGGGGGCGCGACGGGGCCCAGGAGGGGCGCGACGGGGCCCAGGAGGGGCGCGACTGGGCTAGGGGGCGCGACGGGGCCCAGGAGGGGCGCGACGGGGCTAGGGGGTCGCGACGGGGCCAGGGGGGCGCGACGAGGCTAGGGGGGCGCGACGGGGCCAGGAGGCGCGGCAGGGCCCAGGAGGGGCGCGACGGGGCTAGGAGGCGCGACGGGGCCCAGGGGGAAGCGGCGGGGCCTAGCTAGGGTACGGGCGGAAGGGGTAGGTGGGGGATCCTAACCTACGCGTGATACTATATCAAAGTGAGAACTGAATGATGAGCAGAGAGAGAGTAGATGTGAATATACCTAAGTGTTGTACCCTCTAAGAGGTGGCCCTATACAGTCTGCAAACATAGGAGATACACATGTTTGACAGCTTAGTGTCCCGTGTGTGGTGTGCTTTCGACTACCAATCCTAGGGGGTGTGTTAAATTATATCTTTGATATATAACTGGTAGGCTTGGTAGGTGTTACTGAAACCTACTGTAGAGGGTACAACAACCCCCCTCCTTGTATCCCTCTCTTCTATTCTAGATCTATTTTCTCTCATCAAACTTCCTCTCCTAGCTAAACCCTCACGCGGCACGCCATTCCATGGCCGTCTACCGTTCCTAGCATCCTAATCTTCTGACTAGTGCCACCCTGAGCTGCGTGTCTCTTGCCAGGCACTGTCCCTTGTCTAGCCTAGGGGGGGTGTGTCAACGTATTGATATATATTGTGATAGGCTAGATAGGTGCATGCCATAGAGTACAGCACCTAGCACAAAACTACCCTGTACTACCCATTCTAGTTCACTTCGTTATCTTGAGATGCATGACAACAAAACCGTATTTACATTGGCAGTACAAATCTACGTGCCAGGGAGAGGGCTGCCGTGAGAGCTACACCTAAGGCAATGTGGAGGCGCACGCAGAAATATTTAGCCATGAATATGGTATCCTTGTCCTGAAGGGCATGGGACGAGTGGAGACACAAGGGTGGGTATTCGTCTTATTTGAGACAGAATAAAACGTGATGGCACAGCAGAACAAAAGAGCTGGGGCTATGGGAAAGAGGGTTGGGGGAAGGGAGGAAGAAAATGTGGGGTTATGGAATGAATTTTTTGGAGCCATGGGCGGAATGAAGAATGCGGAGAAGATTAGGAAGTAATGTGCAAGAGAAAGTGCACAAAAGCAAGAAACAGCAGATACTCCACTTGGTCAGCAGCCGAACCTGGTGGTGCGACGTAACGAAGTCAACAACAATGCGGCCGATGGGGAGAGTGGCGGCTGCGGCAAGCAGGCAGGTCCAGGGAAGGACCCCCGTAGCAACAAAGGCAGCGGAGAGGGCGTAGAGGGACAGCACGGATACGCGCACCACCTCACAGCCCTTGGCTGTACCCAGGCGCACCAAAGGGGACATTTTGCCCTTGGCCCGGTCACCGTCGATCTGTGGAGGTTTGGTGGTGGTGAGAGAGAGGCAGCGAGGGGGATGGTGGTTTGGCGGGGAAGGCATGGGCAGAGTTTAGAGGACTGGCCACAAGCGGTGCTTCAAACAGCACTCCACTTTTGAGTTACTGTTGGTCAGAAGGGTGTGGTTTCAATGGAGAGAGGTAGAGAGAGCATAGGCAGGCGTATGACCGCATACATGGGGCACACGCAGACATGATGAGCACACACATAGCAGCAGAAAAAAAATTGCAGCACATGTAGAAGCTCAAGTAGTTGCACACATAGCCTACACATGACATTCAGAATGCAGGAAGGCAGAGACGGGTGTCGGGTGATGGTGCTCTGAACTCGAGCGCACGGAAGAGGAGAAGAGGTATTTATAAGCACCTGGTGGAAGTGCGAGCAGAAGAGGATGAGCGTGGTGGTGATGCCCACCAGCACCGATGCTGCCAGCACCGCGGGTGACAGGGCTGCAGGCGCCCCGGGGTTGCTGCGAGAGAGACACAGGGGAGGGAGAGGGGAGAGAGGGGGGAGGGAGAGAAACGAGGGGAAGATGGGGGTGTTGGGAGAAGGGCCAGGCTTTGGTGGGGCGGGGAAGTATGGGATGGCAAGGGGTGGGAAGGGGTGAGAGGGTGGTGGGGTGGGATGATACGAAAGTGGATGAGTAGGGCATGGCGGGATGGGATGGGATGGCATGTGATGGCATGCGATGGCATGGGATGGCATAGGATGGCATGGCATGCGATTGGGATTGGGCTTGAGAGGAACACAGTGCAGATTTGAGTGAGGGGCAGCATGCGTGGCAGGAAAATTGTTGGATTCACTGGCAGCCATGGCTCCTTCCCCCCCCCCTCTTTCAAATCCAAAGCCTCGCATCAAAAGTCGCACATCTTGCAATGTTGCGCATTCACCTGACCTTCTGCGAATCCATCTGGCTCTGCTGCAAATTCACCTGGCCTGGTGCAGGTAGAAGGCAGTGGTGGCTAAAGGCCCAAAGGCGAAGAAGCAGAGCGGCTCGCCGAGGCCCTTGTAGCTCAGGCGGAACGGTGGGCACTGGAAAAAGGGAGTGGGGGGCGGGGGGGGTTGTGAGGGGGTTGGGGGGAGAGGGGCGTAGACAGAACTGTGGGACAGGTAGAGGTGTGGCGTGGAGAAGGGGGCAGGAGTTGAGAGTGAGGAGAGCAGATTGCAAGGGTTGTCTCGTTGCTATGTGAATTCTTGTACCGGCATGCAGGGAAAGAGGGAGGGAGGGAGGGAGTGAGGCGGGGAGGAAGGGAGGGAGGGAGGGAGGGAGGGAGGGAGGGAGGGAGGGAGGGAGGGAGGTAGGGAGGGAGGGAGGAGAGTAGAATGCGGTAGTCCCATGACAGCGAAAGAACGTTTTTGCTGACGGAATGTTTTGCTCACCTGATACACATAGCCACAGGCGATTGAGGCAGCCAGTAGCCATCCGACACGTGGATCCGCAACTGCAGCCGCCCCTGAGATGATCCCTGCAAGGCCAATTCCCAGGAGAAGAAAGGCTGCTGCTAGCACTCGGAAGCGACTGGTGGGCGGGTGGAGGGGGGGGGGGGGAGGGGGGGCGAGAGGGGAGGGGAGGGGAGGAGGGGAGAAGAGGAGGAAAGGTGAGTAGAGGGAGGAGAGGGACATCAGGAAGGAAAACGACACGCACAGAAAGGGCGAAGAGGAGGGGAGTTGGAAGGCAGAAACGGTGCATGTGTGTGGGGGAGAGCAATAGAACAGATTGAAGGGGAGGTAGGGGGAAAAGGCGTCAGGAGGGGGGTGACGACTCAAGGGGAGAAGGAGAGCAGGGGAGAGAGGAGAGGATAGGGAGGAGCAAGGACGTGAAGGATGGGAGTAGTTTGGACGAAAGAGGTAGGTTGGGAAGCAGTAGATTTTATCGCATTTTCTACGGGGAAAAGTGGCAGGAATGGGTAAGAAGTTGTAGCTAGCCATTAAACTAGAGTCTCATTACATGTATCCATTATAATCACTCGGTTCATTACCATTACAGCTAGCACAAGCTCTATGCTAAGGACGCTTTGAATGGGATTATTAGGTGGCTCCACATTCGTAACCAACACCCCTACTCATGTGCCTTGTCCTACTCACGTGCCTTGTCCTACTCACGTGCCTTGTCCTACTCACGTGCCTTGTCCTACTCACGTGCCTTGTCCTACTCACGTGCCTTGTCCTACTCACGTGCCTTGTCCTACTCACGTGCCTTGTCCTACTCACGTGCCTTGTCCTACTCACGCCTTGTCCTACTCACGTGCCTTGTCCTACGGGTGAGCAGGTTCCTGCACCACCTGCAATGCAGATGACCCATTGCGGGTCATCTGCATGGCACTACGGTTCCTGCTTTTCATTGACCCATGCCTACGCTCCTGCCCGTCAGATTGACTCACCTGCCCGTCAGATTGACCCACCTGCCCGTCAGATTGACCCACCTGCCCGTCAGATTGACCCACCTGCCCGTCAGATTGACCCACCTGCCCATCAGATTGACCCACCTGCCCGTCAGATTGACCCACCTGCCCATCAGATTGACCCACCTGCCCGTCAGATTGACCCACCTGCCCGTCAGATTGACTCAGATTGACCCACCTGCCCGTTAAATTGACCCACCTGCCCGTCAGGTTGACCACGGACTCTGGCTTCGTCTTATCGACGCCGGTGAAAGAATCGAAGCCATCGTTACTGTCACACAAGGGGGAGGCAGTGGATACAGGGGACGGGAGGGATGGGTGGAGTAAGGAGGGGGGAAACCCCATGGCCCCGTGACTCTGTGGGGGGTAGAAGAATGAGAGCAGGGAATGATGGTAGGGGATGAGAGTAGAGGATGAGAGTAGGGAATGAGGGTAGGGAATGAGGGTAGGGAATGAGGGTAGGGAATGAGCCTTCACTGGAAAACCCCGTGGCCCTGCGCTGCACGCGCGTAAAGCTTTTGGCGGTGATAGCTGTAGACGGGAAGCGCAAGGAGAACCCTCGGCAAGTCCGCTGGGTTGTACCTTAGATTGAGCCACGCGATAACGAGGACGGAGAAAAGCAGGAAGGAGCCGAATCTGGCGGCGTGGAAGACGCCCGTCTGCAGGTACGCTGCCGACGCACCAATCTGGTGGCGGCGTGGAGGGGGGGAAGAGGGGGAGGGAGGGGGAAAGGAAGGGGAGTGGGGGAAGGAAGGGAAGGAAGGTGGGGGGGAGGGAGGAAGAGGGATTGGGAGGGGATTGGAGGCGATGGGGAATGGAGGGAGAGAGACGGGGGGTGGGGAGGAGGAGGTGGGGGGAGAGGGAGGAGGGGGGTGGGGCGGGAGGGGAGCAACGACACACAGAGAAGAAATTATGAGTTGTTTGATTATCACGTCACCAACAAATATCTGCGAAATGGGTCAGCCATGTTCAAAATTCTTTGTATTCAAATACTTGGCAATCCCTCTTCCTTCACTCCCTCGAGAACAGCAGCACCCCTCTCACCATGAGTGGAATCAGCACGACGCTGTAGATCAGCAGCTTTGAGACGTCTCAAAACTCGATTACTCTCACCATGAGCGGAATCAGAGCGACGCTGTAGATGGGAAGCTTCACGGCGCGCCATATCAGAGTCGCCTGGCTCAGCTTTGCGCCACTAGCAGCGCTCGCCTCCGCCTTTCCCCCTTCTTCTTCCGCGCGCGTCTCCCCCGCAATCCCCGCCTTTCCCGCCTCCTCTGTCGGCTCCCGTGCCTTATTTCCGCCCTCTTCCTCCGCCTCCGCGGCTTCGCTATACGGCTCGTCGACAGTCACCGTGTCGGCGCGTGCTTTTATCGAAGAAACGATCCGCTGCGCATGAGACGGTTGCGTCCAGGAAGCAACCGGATGACCGGAGCTGACGTGGATGCGTCGACGTGCGACGGGGCGGCACCCGCCAACGAATCGGCATGACGAGAAGCGTGCCGGCGCGGCTAAGCTGGCGAACGAACGCGAACGAGCTGGTCTTGATTCGCCCTGGCCTCTCTGGGTTCCAGCGGCGACGACGCTGGTGACGGAGAGGGCCAGCGGCGTCGAGCAACGCAAGGCCTGAGCCATCGTCGCTTGTGAGCTCCCTGCGAGGATGCCTCAGGGCGTCTCGGAGCGCTGGGTTGTATTCGCACTGGCGCCTGGCGATGCTGTGTCTCGTTTTGACACGGGAGAACCGCTGCGGCTTGACGTCTAGTCAAGTGGGCGCGAGTGTCTCAACGCGGCCGGAGGCTCGACAGCGGCGTCAGGCGCTTGCAGCTTTGGAATGGCTCATTCCCTGTCTGACAAATGCACCGTGCACTAGGAGTACAATGAGCGTAGGCACACGACGTGCGTCGGAAGACGAGCGCCCGGACGTCGCCCTGATGTGCCTTTCTCAATGATCGCCGAGCAGGACGGCAGCCGAATGGCTCTCAACTCAGAACCACTGGTAACTTGTAACCAGGACCAGGACCTGCGGCTAGGGTGCAGTCTGATGAAACCAGGTGAGAGGTGCAGGATGCACGCACCAGGCGGCACTCCCCACGTTGCCCGGCTTATAACTCAGGAATAGGCCTTTCTGGGAAAGGCTGATCGTTGTCTCCCAGTGCTGCTGTGTGGAGAAAAGAATTTGGAGGTAAGGAGAAGCCTCACCTCAACCAGCGCAAGCACTGCTTGCTGATGGCGACTCGGTCACAGGTGGGGTGCACTGCCTGAGGGGGGAGGGCTTAGGGGGTGTGTAAAGTGGGAACGGAGGCTCCGCTCCGTTCCCAAACTCTTTTTTATGCCCGACTGAAATTGTAGGCTAATCGGATGCACGGAATCTGCGTGTTAAAAAGTGTGAATTCGCGCAAAACATTTTTGCGCAAACACCTTCACGACATTGGAAAACATTTGACCGCTCGTTGTGCATGTACCAGAACGTAAGCGCATCTCGCCAATCTCAAGGATGCTGCAAAATGGCCAGCTCGGCCAGCACGGAATGCATGCGCCTCGCGCAGGCGAATTTCGCGATACATTGCCCTCGCCAGTTACAGATTTGAACTTTGAAATTGAAAGTTTCAGGTGCATGGGTTTCGTGCGGGCGGTGTAGTTTCAAACCTTTTGTTGCTTCTGGAAACAAACCGAACGGGCAGAAGATACGGAGTTTGGGAATGGAGCGGAGCCTCCGTTCCCACTTTACACACCCCTAAGCCCGCCCTCGGGGCACACCTCGAGGCAGTAGTTTCGGGCACCATTTATACGGCCGAGATCACCCAATCGGAAACCTTGGATCATCCAATCCGTATAACTGTTGCTCTAAAGTCTTGCCTGGGGCTTTCCGTTAAATTTCAGCCACGAATCACCAACCTTGATAATCCCTCCCAAGGACCTGCACAATATTATTCCGGGCAGACTAGATTACTCTGGGCAGGAGAAGTGGCGTGTCTTTGGGCTCGGGATTCTCGGATCGTTTCATTGGTTCACAGCTTCGGAGCCAGAACACGTGTCGTGATAAAAGTGGTGTTGTGGGTGAACGTGGATTGGCTCGATGTGTACACCTTTGTATTAGCTCGCAAATATGAATACAGACCCAAAATCCCTCCACCCCACCTTCGTTTGAAAATCCACCATTGATATTCAATAAAGAGGATGATTCACACAGAATTCAAATACTCCGAGGTGACTATAGCCGAACGAGCAATGCCGTAGAACCCTTCTTTTATAAAACGAGTAACCAGCTTGCTACAGTAACTCTTAAATAGTCAAGTACCTTTTTGGAGGCGAGGATCACTTACGAAACAATCCCGCAAAACGATTTCGTGTCCAACTCTCTTTCGAACCTACCCACCAAAGTATCAGATCGCGCCACCTAGAGATGTCACAAAACCTCCATGGCTTCGCCAACTCGTCAAAGCGAAACATGCTGACAGAAATCTCGAGAGCCTCGCGCCGCGTTCAAGTTTTTTGCAAGGGTTGGTGGTTGCTGGGCTCTCGAAAATACTGGCGAAATGCCTTGATGTCACTTTGCAGAGCGAACCTGCGGGCCAAAAGTTGCAAATCTGGAACATGCCTATGTGGCGTGCAAGTCCGATGTCGAAAGTCGTTTTCAAAATGTCTGAAATGGTCTTGCTTAAAAAACACAACTCGATATTTCAGCTGCGATCCTCCGAAACGGACGCAATGTGCCCCGCCCTTAGGGGCTGCTTTTTGCCATCTCTCACCTTGGCTTGATCCAGATGAGCTCACTCTGACCTCTGCTCTCACGCGCGCTGCGAGGTAGCAGTCAGAAGCCATTCGTCGACCCCTTCCCTATCATCCCAGTGACACGCACTACCCTCCGACCGAACGCAATGCCTCCTGCTACTGACGCACACCGCTTCCACTCTCCTACGCATCGTCCCAGGGAGTAGGTTATGTTGCTAAACGGGGTGGGTTGAAAGGAGAACAAGTCACGAGAGTGAGGTGGGCGAGCGAGGAGGTTACCTGGCACAGAAGCTGGTGCCGTTTGTCTCGGCCAGGCCCTTGCCAGGCCCTTGCCAGGAGTTGCCAGGAGGTTGCCAGGAGCTGCCAGGAGCTCTAATCTCAGGCGGCGTTTCCGTGACGGCATGGCGAATGACGGAGCTGTGGGGCCAACTTTCGCCTCGGAGGACGAGAGAAGAGTGCACTTCATGCGACTCGCCATCGCACAAGTACGCCTGCTCTTAGGTTCAGCACGCGTGCACACCTCTCCCCCGCCCTTCCTCCAAACAACATACACCACCTCCCCCCCCGCCCCGTCCCGTCGCCCCTTTTGCCTCGGAGGACGAGAGAAGAGTGCACTTCATGCGACTCGCCATTGCCCAAGTACGCCTGCTCTCACCCATCGCACGTACCGCCCTCTCCCCCACACCCTTCCTCATTCAACCACCACCACCTCCCTCCCTCCCTACCTCCTCCCCCCCGCTCCCCTTTTTGTCTGTTTGTGTTTACAAGCCTCCCCGGTTGTGATCCGCTTCCCATGGTAACCTTCTCTCTGGGATCCGCCCCGCCCCTTCCCTCTGCTGGTTGTCACCAGCTCCCCTGTTTCTGAGCCGCTTCGCTTGGTGGCTTCGTTTCTGTCTGGGATATGATATGATTCTTGGTGGTGCGTGTCCGGCCTCCCACCCCCCCGTGCCCTTGTGTGTGTGCCCAAGGAAAGGCGGAGGCTGCATGGACGAGACTTGAAGTCCCCGTGGGGTGAGCACCCTCTTTCTCTCTCTATCCTTCCTCCCCTCCCCCCCACCCCACCACCTCTCTTCTCCCCCCTCTTCGCTCCCCACCACGTTCCCCCTTTGGCCCATGTTTCCCACTACCTTTCTTCCTTCGCCCCTACCTTTCTTCCTTCGCCCCTACCTTTCTTCCTTCGCCCCTACCTTTCTTCCTTCGCCCCTACCTTTCTTCCTTCGCCCCTACCTTTCCCTCTACCGTCGCCCCGACCTTTCCCACGCCCTGTTTTGCCAACCCGTCTTTCGTGCCCGATATCCCTAAGTACTCCGCATTCTAACGCCTCCCATCTCCCATCTCCCACTTTCTCCTCCATCTCCCTCTTGTCTTTCTCGCTTTGCCATTTCCCCCGTCATTCCCCTCCCTACGTTCCCCTTTCTTCCCCTCCTCCCCTTGCGTCAGATGTGTTATAGTGCACAACAATAGAGTCGCCGCAGCAGGCAGCAACAGGACCAATGAAACCAGAAATGTGAGTGCGCTCCCTACACTCTTTTTCTCCTGATCGCATACGCCGCCACCACTCCGCCTGCCCAACTTCCCTGCCTGTTGTGACGAAAAGAGTTGCCCCCCTGCTTGTGCGGTTGACCTGCTGCTGCTATACTCTCTTGCTTGCTTCCTTCGTTCTTCCGTCCCTGTCTCCATCTTCCAGCGTTTGACACGTCTCTATACACTTGTGCCCTCGTTTTTTCCACTGAGAATATTCAGATGGACGCTCGTTGATTATTCTGCATGATTATGTGGCCCTTTTTATTGGCAGGCCACGCGCCATGCTGAACTGGAGGCTGTTGATTCGCTTCTGGAGTCTCTTTCTGCCGGGCAGGTTAACGAGTGCTTTGGGCAGATTGACCCTCCAAGGGCAGCATCGGCCAATGGTATAGCGAATGATGGAGCGAATGGCACTGTGACACGTGGCAGCCATAAATTAGCTGGGGAACGAGGGAGAGAGAGTTTACTGGGGGGGCGGAATGAAGAGGAGGAGGAGGATGGAAGGGCGAAGGGAGAGAGGGAAAGAGGGGATGAAGGAGAGGATGAGGCAGAGGAGGGAGGAGGGCGAGAGGCGGGGGAGGGTGAGGGGGAGGCGAGAGAGGAGGCGGAGCAGTATGGCCGATTGCTGCAGGTGGTTGGGGAGAGTGAGCTGTTTGTGACATGCGAACCGTGCATCATGTGCGCTGGAGCACTCTCCTTGCTGGGTAAGCCGCACAGGACAGGTGATTTCCAGGCAGACAGGATTAGAGGAACAGGATGCCTTTCGACTGGCATGAATCTCCAAAGGCAACCGTTCCGCTCATCACGAGTGACGACCGCCGTTTGATCATCCGCATCTTTCCTTCCTATAACCCTTAAACTCTAACCCTTGGTTCCTTCTCCTCCCTCCTTGCTTCCTGTTCCCAGCTTCCAGCTGTGCATTCCTTTCCTTTCCCTTTCCTCTTCCCTCCTCCCTCCTCCCTCCCCACTCCCGCACACCAGGTCTCTCCCGTGTGTTCTACGGTTGTCCCAACGACCGCTTTGGGGGCTGTGGCTCCGTGCTGCCGGTACACGCCAACGGATGCCACCCCTGCCCGCCCTTGTACGTCGCTACCCCTAATCCCCTTGTACGTTGTTGGTAACCCTACCTCCCACGGCAACTAGTGCACTAAGCTGCAGGGCTGTGGCTTGTCGGTCGTATAGTCCCATTCCCCCGTTTTCACACATTCTTTCTTCGTTTTGAAACGTTCCGAAACTAGAATATTGCCACAGGGTTAATAGTGTTCAAGTTCAATAGACGTCTCACTCTGAGGGTTCTGAGGCGTGCTACATCTGGTTCGCTTAGGGTGCATTGACTCGTCTGCTGGAACACACTGAGCCTTAAGGTTCAACACAACAGCTCACTAGCCAATCTACGTCGTTTTGGGTGGGCGTATACACCAAGTTACCGGGTAACACGCGAAGGTGTACTAACTGGTTCGTGCGCAGCGAACCAGATGTAACACGTTCTGTCATTGCTATGTGCACTGCCAATTCCATGCGCCCTTCCCTATTCCCTGCACACAGCAGTGCATTCAACCCCTCTCCCTCACTCACCCGCCCTCCCTGTCCTCCTCTTCCCGCTATCACCACTCCCACCCCCACCCTCTCTTCCCATCCCATTGTCACCACTACCATGTCGTGCTGTGAGCCGCCGATTCCCAACACCCCTTTCACTGTGAATATCCCCCCCCCCCCCTCCTCCTCCTCGGCCAACAAGGCCGTTGAGCTGCTCAGCGCACACATGGCGCCACGCGCAAGAAAATAAACTTCTTCCCCTCTCCTCCCCCTTCTCCCCTCCTCCCACTGTCAGCTCTCCCGTGCCGAGCTGCCAGCTGTAGTGTCTGAGGGTTGACCTGCTCAGCCGCACACATGCCTGCTCAGCCGCACACATGGCACTGCATGGCACCACATGGTACCACATGGCATCAAATGGCATCACATGGCACCACGTGCAAGAAGCAAACCCCCACCCCTCCCCCCTCCCCTCCTCCTACTGTCAGCTCTGCGGTGCCGGGCTGCCAGCTGCAGTGTGTGGGCGGCATTCTGGCCAGCGAGGCCGTTGACCTGCTCAGGCGCTTCTACGAACAGGGCAACCCCAACGGTCAGATGCTCACAGGGTTGCACAGGGCTGCACAGGGTTGCACTGGATTCTGAAGTGTTGCACTGGGTTGCACTAGGGTTCCCACTGAGTTGAACGGCCAAGCAATCTGTTGTTGGGCGGCAGTGAGTTGCTGGGGAATTGCCGGCGAGTTGTACTGGAATCTGAATGACAAGCTGAAGCCTGACTGTTGAATTGAAACTTGAAACCTGATTGGTGAGCAAAAAAAACGCCATTCCACCCCCGCCCCCCCCCCCCCCCCCCCCCGTTCTCATCCCATCCCATTAACCCCTTGCTACCCCCTTCTTCCCACCGCGTTCTCCGCACCCCTCCCCCCTACCTGCCTGCAGCTCCAAGACCCCACCGCCCAATCAAGCCAGGGATACCTGGGGGCGGATTCTCTGCCTAGTGCAATGCTTGACCTGCTCCAGTTGAGTTTGTCAACAAAAATTATTATCTAGGCTAGGTAGTTTATATTTGTTATAGCCTTAGCTAGGTCAATTCTTAGAGGGTACAGTCCTACCTTTGTAACCCTTGCGGTTTTCCCTTAGTCCCACATTCTCTCGACAATCTAACATGGCATCTAGAGCTAGGTCTCGCCCTCTATTCACGCTTCCGCCCTAGCACACCCTAGCCTAGCGCGCCTCGGCCCTAATTGCGCGCCTCGTAGCTCGTCCCTTCCCCGTCCTCTCCTCTTCGTCGTGTAGCTCACGCCAGCCACCGCTGGCCCGCGTCCGCCAGTGCCTTAGTTCTTAGCCGTCCCACCTCCCGCCACCCGTTCGTAGCCTGCGCCAGCTCGCGCCAGCCCGTCGCCTGCTCGCCAGCCCGCCAGCCCGCCTGCTTGCCAGCTCGCACGCTCGCCAGCTCGCACGCTCGCCTGCTCGCCCGCTCGCCCGCCCTCCTGCTCGCTTGCTCGCCTGCCCGCCAGCCCGCCTGCTCGCCAGCGCGCCAGCCCGCCTGCTCGACAGCTCGCACGCTCGCCTGCTCACAAGCCCGACTGCTCACCAGTCCGCTTGCTCGCCTGCCCGCCAGCCCGCCTGCTCGCCAGCCCGCCTGCTCGCCTGCTCGCCAGCTCGCCTGCTCGCCAGCCCGCCAGCCCGCCTGCTCTCCCGCTTGCACGCTCGCCTACTCGCCAGCCCGCCTGCTCGCTTGCTCGCCAGCCCGCCAGCCCGTCTGCTTGCCAGCGCGCCTGCTCGCCAGCTCGCCTGCTTGCCAACACGCCTACTCGCCAGCTCGCCTGTCCGCCTGCTTGCCCGCTCGACTGCTCACAAGCCTGGAAGCTCGCTTGCTTACCAGCAGCGCCAGCAGCCAGCCCCAGCAGCCAGCAGCCAACTTACTGGCTCACCAGCGCCACCAGCGCCACCAGCCAGCAGCCAGCAGCCAGCAGCCAGCAGCCAGCGCGCCAGCGCCAGCAGCCAGCACCAGCTAGCTCGGCAGCGCCAGCCAACGCCAGCAGCCAACAGCGCCAGCAGCCAGCGCCAGCAGCCAGCAGCCAGCTTGCTGGCTCACCAGCGCCACCAGCGCCAGCAACCAGCAGCCATTGCCAGCCTCCTGCCGCCAACAGCCAGCAACCAGCGCCGGCTGCTGCCACCCACTGCCACTACCGCAGCTACTACTGCCCGCTGCCGCCCCGCTGCTGCCTACTGCCGCCCACTGTCATTGCAGCCGCCACTTCAGCCGCTGCCGCTACAGTCGCCGCTGCTACTCATGTCGCCACTGTTGTTGCCCACAGTCAGCTTTGGCCTCCAGCAGCCGGCCACCAGCCGCCAGCACCAGTCACCAGCAGCCAGCAGCCGACCGCCGTTCCTCAGCCGTCAACCGCCAGCTGCCACCACTCGCGGACAGCCGCTAACCACCAGCCGCCAGCGGCAGTCGGCCGCCTGCCATGTGAGTCCCCCGTGCCCTGTGGACTGTCCTTCGTCCTGTGCCGTTAGTCCTAGTGCCTCCTATCTAGCTCCTTGGCTTACTGCTCTTAGTAGATCCTCTCGCGCGTACTTCCTCCGCGTTTACTCCCCACTCCTCCTAGCAGCTCCTAGCCTACCGCCAGCCGCCAGCTAGCCGCTACTGCCGTCCTACTGTCACTAGCCACTGCTACTACCTCCGATTGTACTCCTCTAGCACCTAGTGCCTCTCACTAGACTCCTCCTCGTTTCTAGAGTTCCTCGACGCCTCTCCTCTCGGCATGATGGCCTCGTTCGGGTCACTACATCGGCCAGACCGCCAGGCACTTCCCTCCGCTCTCCAATTTCTCGCTCGCTGTCTACAGCTGGTGAGCCCACACCTAGACTGCACGCTCCTAGAGGATCACATTAGTTATATCATTGGCTTCTGGCTCCACGACCTCGACGTCTGCTTCCGGGCTCTCTGGCCTCTGTCGCAGCTGCAGCAGTAGCAGTAGCAGCAGCAGCACCAGCATCAGCGGCAACAGCCGCTGTGGGGCCTTGGGGGTGCTGGGCGAGGTGGAGGCTCTGGAGGTGCGACCCCGGGGCGGTCACTACCCTGGGGCCAGCGTGGTTTCTTTGGAGGACCGGGGGCTTTGGGGCTTAGGGGTCTAGGTCCCACCACTGTGTCTTGTCTAGAAGCCTCTACTACGTGTCTTCTAGGCTCCTCCCCTGCCCCTCTTGAGGCGGCCCTCTCCTTTATCCTTTACTTCGACACGTCACGTTGCTTCTTTGGAGACAGTACTGCTCTCACCCTGCTTCCTACGCTTGTCCGCGTCGCACTAGCAGACTCCTCCACCACAGGTGTCGCATGTAGCACCACCACTCTCCTTTGTCCAGCTGTCCCCTCCGGCTCCCTCACCGGTCTGTACATCTCCTCGTTTGCCAGGAACCTAGTGGGTGTCGGTCACCTTCACGACCGAGGCGTCAGCACTACGTTCTCTGACCACGAGAAACACGCCGCTTGCACAGACACAGCTACCAGTCGGCACTTTGCCACGTTTGAGCGTGACCCAGGGTCAGGTCTCTTTACACTGCATACTGAGTCCCTGCCGATTGCTGCGTCTGCAACGGTTGTCGCGTCGTGCTCTTGTCGCTCCATAGCCCACCCAACCCTCTGTGGCACCACCGCTTAGGTCACCCTGCACTCCCGCGTCTTAGGCACATGTCCCAGCACGGTCTAGTCACTGGTCTCTCTGCATCGCTTCCCGCCCTGCCTACGTCGGTAGCGCCACTATGCACCTCCTGCATCGAGGGCCGGCATCGCAGCGCCCCTCACTCCTCCTTGTTTCCTCCTACCATAGCGCGGCTACAAACGCTGCACATGGATGTCTAGAGCCCTGCACCGGTCCATGGTCTTAGTCGGGAGCGCTAATTTCTAGTCGTTGTTGACAACTTCTCGCGCTTCACCACAGTGTTCCCATTGGAGCGGAAGGCAGACGTGCCTACCGTTCTCCTCCCGTGGCTTCTCACTGTTCGCACCCACCACCGCCTACCCGTAGGTCACTTACACTCTGGCCGAGGTGGCGAGTTCGCCTTTGGCACTCTAGGACGGTTCTATCGTGCGGAGGGCATCCACCAGACGTACACACTGCCGAACTCCCCACAGAAGAATGGGGTCGCTGAGCAACGCATTGGCCTGATCATGGAGGTGGCTCGCACCTCTATAGTCCACGCCGATGCACCCCATTTTCTGTGGTCGTTCGCTGTGCGCTACGGTGCTAACCTGCTAAACCTGTGACCGAGCTCCTAGCGGCCACAGGTTTTGCTGACCCTCGTCTGAACCCGGTCTCCGGGTAACGCTACTGCGTTCCACCTCTGGGGCAGCCTTGCTCACGTCCGTGACACTAGTCCGGACAAGCTCTCAGCCTGCACCCTTCCTTGTGTCTTCCTGGGGTTTCTGCTTAACGCCTCTGACTGACTGTTTTACCACCCATCACACCACCAATTTTACCACTCTCGTTACATTACCTTCAGCGAGACGCTCCCCTACTGCCGGCGCTTCCCATGCCGCAGCACTCCTGTGCCTCCTCCTCTTCTCTTCCTTGTCCCTGCCCCGCCTGCCGCACCCCTCCAGCCCCGCCCAGCCCAGTCTGGTGTCTCCCACGCCACTCAGTTCCCCTCAGTTGCGCCTGTGGGGGAGTCGGCTGACTCTGGGGGACCAGGTGCTAGGGGTGCGCCTGCTGTCCCCGTGGCGCCTCCCCCAGCCTCGGTACCCCAGGCACCTCAGCCGCCTCCTCCCTTGCCTCAGCAACAGCAGCCGTCGCTGCAGCAGAAACAACGGTCACAACAGCAGCAGCAGCAGGCAGTAGTGGGCTCTGAGAGTGCTGGTTCTGGGGTTGCGAGTTCTGGGAGTGCGAGTTCTGGGGGTGCGAGTTCTGGGAGTGCAAATCTGTGGGTGGTGCGTCCAAGGGTGCTAGTCCTGGGGGTGTTGTTTCGCGGTGTGCCGGTGGAAGCTGCGGTACCGCTGGAGGTCCTGGAGAGGACAGGGGGTAGTTGCAGCCGCAGCAGCAGCCACAGCAGCAGCATCAGCCGCCGCCGCAGGAGCAGCCGCAGTCTGCCCTTCGTCTCCTTGGTCTTGCTCCAGGTTCCCCTGTCCGCCCCCCCGTTCCCCCTCTGGTGCGTGACCCTGTTTACGGCCCGTTGTTTCCTCCTCCGGACTCCTCTCTGGCCAACGTGCTAGAGGACAGACAGTACGAGTTGGCCTACCTTGCTGCCGCTGTTCCCCATCTCTGCTCCATGCTCATATCCCCAGAGGGAGACCCAGACGCTCTTGACATTCCTGTTCCGCGTTCTTAAGTTGAGGCGGTGTCGGGACCCTGGGCAGCCCAATGGATACAGGCCATGGAGGCTGAGATGGCATCCTACAGATCCACAGGCACTTACGTCGACGCATTTCACCCGCCTTGGGCGAACGTAGTCGATGGCATGTGGATCTACAGGGTGAAGCACGCACCTGGAGAGCCGCCAAAGTTCAAGGCACGTTACGTGGCTAGAGGCTTCAGTCAGCGTGAGGGTTTGGACTTCTTCCAGACCTTCTCCCCGACCCCGAAGATGACTACTCTTCGCGTCCTTCTCCACATAGCTGCGCAATGTGACTACGAGCTTCACTTACTCGACTTCTCCACAGCCTTCCTGCAGGGTAGTCTGCACTAGCAGATCTACCTCCAACGCCCACTAGAATTCTCTGGATCCTTCCCACTTAGGTTCCTGTGGAGCCTGCGTCGCCTTGTCTACGGCCTTTGTCAAGCACCTCGTGAGTGGCACGGCACGCTTCGCACCACTCTTGCTGAGCTGCAGTTCTTTCCGTCCTCTGCCGACCCCTCTCTCTTTGTTCGCTCGGGTCAGACCTTGTTCTACATCCTAGTGTGCGTAGAGGATCTTATCTTTCAGTTTCTAAATATTCAGACGAATCGTAGTGCAGTTTCTAAAATTTCAAAAGTTCCTAATTCCAATTTCTAGGCTAACCAAGAAGGACCATATTAGCCTCCACATCTCAATATTTGAGTACGTTTCCTAATGCCCGAGGTCCTTGGGCAGCTTGGGCGTGCACGAAAGAAGGTTTGGAGAATTCAATATCACGAGAGGTTCTTATTGGTGGGATGACTGCCAACGC